ATGACTTAGTCGTGCTCTGCATGTGCAGTACAACTAAAATGTTTGCATATTATAGGAATGGTGACAATTCATGGACCAAAGTTATTAATAGTACCAGAGAGTGGTTTATTGACTACTTACGAAGACATTATCTGTCACAAAAACAAAATCTACGCACTAGATTATTGGTCCTTTTCCACTTGGCAAGCCTGCGAAAGGATCACGACTACTTTTCACGATGAAATGGTGCTAGGTAAATTTGTTAAAGATCTGTCCCCCTAAAAGATGTTACTTGGTAGAATCAGGAGGGGAAATCTTCTTCTTGTTAAGTTTCGCGATTTCTACCTCAAGACAAGGGCGTTTCAGGTGTTTAAGTTGGATTTAGTAGGGAAGAAATGGGTAAGGGTGAATTCCCTTGGGGATAGGTCGTTGTTTCTTGGTGGAAATCATTCTCTTTCTATACCAACTAAGAATCTCATGAGTTGTAAAGGGAATTTGATTTACTTCAGTGATGATATCTGGGAATGTCAAGAGTATAATTGGCATGATGATGGAACATACAGCTTGGAAGATGGAATAATCTTGCGAGTTTATGAATCAGATAATGTTAGGACAGTACCTTTTTGGATTGTTCTCACCTTGTGCAAATTGAATTCATGAAAGAATTACATTCTTGTTTTATGTTTTAGTACAGTTGAAGTTTACAAAAAAAAAAAAAAAAAAAAAACCTCAATCTTTAAGATTTTGGCACTATGATGTGTTGTAATTTCTATCATTGTTTCAATTTTCAATGTTCAAAACCTTGAAACCTTAGGACAAGTTTGGTTGAATGATTAATCCAAGCTCTCTGTTTGGTAGGCTTTGCTTATCTCCCCCTCCTCCTCTCCTTTCCTTTTTCCATTATTGTCCATTCCTATTTTGGCTCTAACTTGAGACTTATCCCTAATTTACAATCTCCATTCATGTTAAGACACCCATTCGGAGTCTAACCATTTTAGCTAATGTGAAATGTGCTTCGTTAGTTACGAGTACGAGGTTGCAGAAAAACAAAAAGCCATGATATTAAAAATAATAAGACATTTAATTATAGTTACAAAATAAATGAGATATAATGTAAGTTTTATTTATTATTTAATTGGGATTAAAAATATTAATTATTTTAATACTATAACTTATGATTTTTACTTTTTCTTTCTCCTTTTTTAAGGGCATTCTATGTGTCTTTTCATGCTTTGATTGCGTGCCTTCTTAGCTGAGGTGCGAATCCGTACCAACTAGTACAGACTGTACAGTAAAGTCCATTATCCTTTGGGCCATGACAAGAGCAAAATTTTAAAGCCATGTCCCAACTGGGGGCCGAAATAATGCCTGTACAATCAATAAGCATGTTAC